CCACAGCTTAGAGGGAACATTGATGTATAGTATATTTACTAGATTTATGGCTCTCCTTTTGCACTGGGACTATCAAAATGGATAACACAAAAGTCGATGCAATCAGTGTTTGTGTATTGTGAGCCTTCAAGTCACTTCTGACTGATGGCAACTGTCTGAATGTTTCCCCAAAAATCCCATCATTAACAGCCTTGCTCATGTCTTGCAAACAAAAGGCTGTGGCTTCCTTTACAGAGTCAATCCATCTGGTGCTGGGTCTTCCTCTTTTCCTGCTGCCTTCAGCCTTTCCCGGCATCGTTGTCTTTTCCAGCATGTCTTGCCAAAGTATGATAGCTTCCGTTCGGTCTTCGAAGGGGAATTCAGGCTTGATATGACGAAGAGCTCACTTAACTGCCTTTATGGCATTCCGTGGTATCCATAAAACTCTCCTCCGACACCAGTCAGTGTGACGGAAGCAATTTTTCTCCAGGCCAGTTTGGCCAGGGATCCTGGAGGTTTTTTGTCATCTTCTGGGTATGGAGCAGAGGTCACTGGGGGTGTGTGGGGGGGAGCTATTTGTGAATTTCCTGCATTGTACAGGGGGTTGGACTAGATGACCCTGGAAGTCCCTTCCAACTCTGTGATTCTATGAAGTGACATTTGATATGCAGTCTACTAGGATTATATCCAACCAACAGCCAGATTCAGGTCCCATAGTGCATTAGAGATCAACACTTTTTTGGAGGTATGAGCTTTGGAGAAAGAAAGAAGAGATTGGATTTATACTTCCTCCTCCACTCGGAGTCTCAGAGCGCCTTACAATCTCCTTTCTCTTCCTCTCCCCCAACACACACCCTGTGAGGTAGGTGGGGTTGAGAGAGTTCTGAGAGAACTGCTCTTGAGAGAACAGCTCTGAGAGAACTGTGACTGACCCAAGGCCATCCAGCAGGCTGCATGTGGAGAAGTGGGAAATCAAACCCGGTTCTCCGGATTAGAGTCCACCACTCTTAACCACTACACCAAACGGGCTGCCTTTGGTATCTAACAAAGGGAGCCTTGGCTCTTGAAAGCTTTTACCCTGAAAATCTTTTGGGTCTTCAAAGTACTACTGGATTTGAATCAAAATACATGTGAGTGTGTGTACCTATATGTGTATATATGGCACGGTCTGATCTCAACCAAATTGCTCATCACTGTATTTAATAGCAAATGTCTTCTTGGCCCACGTTCAGATAACAACATGGATGCAATGTGGGGATTCTCAGCTATCCCTTAGGGTTCCACAGCCCGATTTGCAGAAAAATCTAACATGGTCCAAAAAATGGGGGGAACTAAAAATTCAGTGCACATTCAAATATTGTTTTAAAAAACCCTGCCCAGGGCTTAGCTCCTATTTTGGATTGTTATCGGAACCACTTTACCCTCAATGGTACCCCTGCAGGGATTTGGTGGGGGGGCTACCAATCTGAACAGAATGCCAGCCGCTGCCAATGTCCTGGGAGATTCAAGGGGTGAGGCCTGGGGCCTTAAAGCTTAAAGCCTCAAGGACAGCCCACATGAGCCTGCTGTTTTAGATCCACCTCAGAGGCCTTCTGTGTTCCCAACCAATGTTCCCTCTAAGCTGTGGAGTCTTGTGAGCAATTATTCTGCTTTGTGAGCTCCTGGCATTAAAGATGTGAGCGAGCGATTTGGCTACTGCATATATTAGTTGGTTCTGGCGCCATCCCGCCCTGAGCTAAGACAAAAATGTGTGAGCCAGAGGCTAAAAAACTGTGAGCTCGCTCACACTAACTCAGCTTAGAGGGAACACTGCTCCCAACTGTCTGAGGTAGGGGGGCAATTGGGGGTTGAGCCTTCTATGTGGTGGCCCCTCAGTGGTGCAATGCTTTTTGCATCCACCTAAGTATACTTTAGACAGCAGGGGAAAACTTTTTATTTAACCCCACCACACACTTTTTTTCATGAAACGCGTGCCATAGCATTCACCCACCATTCCTTTTGTGTTATCACTGTCTTTGCTCTACTGCGTCTGGCAATGTTGATATCTTCTTTTGCTTCTCATGTTCTGTTTTGCTGACGTCATTTGTAGGACAGGCAGCCATAAATATGCCTGATAAACAGATCCCCCCCCCCAATAGCTCCCACAGCTTTAGATTGCTTCCTCACTTCTCTTGTCTAAACCTCAACATTCCTTTCCCCAGCTTGTTTCCTCCGATTGCAGAATTTATTGAGTGCCTATCCGCAAAGGAGCATTAGGGAGGGGGGCAAAGACCAGTGATGGATTTCTGCCCTCTTCGGGAGTTCCCCAGCTGTGCAAAAAAGTATGATTTTGTAAACGGGGGGTGGAACCACCCTTCCGAAAGAGCTTGATGAGGACTAAGCTTTCTTCAAGAGACCTGGGATATTGAGAGTTGTTGAAAATCAGTTAAAAGAAAACTCACATTCGGAGATCCCCTATGTGCACAAATGAGCTGAACAACACTTGAGTATCCATATGGCAGGGTTGCCAGATGTCTTCTTTTTAGAGGACATGTCCTCTCTCTCTCTCTTTTTTTTTTTGGTGTCTGTCCTCTTTTGGGTGGTTTTTAAAAAACTGATGGAAATGTCCTCTTTTTGGGGCTGGAAGGTTAGGGATATTAGTTAGCAGCAACTATCGCTGCTTAAATAGTAGGGGTACCCTGAGCCAGTCCTGGCAAGACGTTCCTACAATGCTGTCCAAATACTTTAGAAGAAGAGAGAAGAGATTGGATTTATACCCCACCATTCAATTGGAGTCTCAGAGCGGCTTACAAACTCCTTTTCCCTTCCCCTCCCCACAACAGACACCCTGTGAGGTGGGTGGGGCTGAGAGAACTCTGACACAAACTGCTCTTTTCCAAGGACAGCTGTGCCAGAGCTTGTGACTGACCCAAAGTCACATCAGCAGGTGCAAGTGGAGGAGGGGGGAATCAAACCCGGTTCTCCCAGATTTGAGTCCACACACTTAACCACTACACCAAACTGGCTCTCTTTAGGGAATCTTTTCAAGGACATCGCAAAGCGGAGCCCACCCACCAGCCCAAGAGCCTCCGGGGACCTCCGGCAAAGGTGACAGAAGGGAAACCTCCCCCGTCCCAGATGTTTAGCCCGAATGTTACACCAGCAGCAGCAGAGGCAGACTGAGATGAAAGTGTTTAATTTTGAATTTTAAAAAAGGGGGGAGGGGTAAAGAGATACACTCAAATCAGTATTTTCAAATATATATAGGTCGATAAATATAATGTTGCCAGGAAGAGGATTACAAGACCATCTAAGGGGGTTACGCTGCTGGAAGAGAGAAAAGTTGAAAATCTGGAGAGAGAGAAATAGAGAACAAGTGCTTCGTTTAAAAAAAATAGTATAAATACCCGCTAAATTGATTTCGATACAAGCGAAAACCAACTCGGATGGCAAAACGAGTTAACGGGCTGATTTCTCACAGGACTAAACATTTCTATCATCTGACGATCCTTCTGTGCGTAGTGAGATATCTGACTCCGAGGACACACCTGAAGGACGACTCCCATCCTGTTTTGAGTCTCAGCTCCAAAGGGAAGCAGTGGCTGGGAACACAACTACAACCGTCCTGGGCTCCTTTTGGCTCTCTCTGACTCAGCTCCCCCACTGTCAGGACCGAGGACTGTATGCTCCTTGGGGCAGAGAACGCAGGAAGACTCCTGAAATCAAACTGCAAGGGTCATCTGGCCCAGCACCCTGTTCCCAACGTTAGACAGCCAGTGATTGTGAGGAAGCCCATGATTAGGATATGGTGATGCATCCCTTCCCTCTGGCTGTTGCCCCTCCCCAAGCAACTGAGAGAGATACACTGCCTCTGTACATGGAGGTTCCGTTCTTAACTTTCACAGTTAGTAGCTGCTGATAGAAACATGCACCATGAATTTAACTCGTCCTTTTATAAGAGCCCCAAAAGCAGCTCATTCTTGGCTTCCGTGAAGCCCACGCTGAAGGGCTCACTGTCTACCAAGAGATAGACTGCCTCTGTGCATGGAAGTTCCATTCTTACCTTTCACGGCTCATAGGAGGGACAGAGCCCGTAGGAGGGGAATCTGTCTTATTTGTAAACTGATGGCACGGTAAAAATAATATATAGTAACAAAAATAATAATAATAATAATAGGAGCAGCTGTAGGTTGTTTGTGTGACAGGGTTTGCCCCACGTAAGCCCAGTGACTTCAGCCACACCAATGCCAGAGCTGTGTGGGTGTGGGCTTAAAACTAAAATGAAGATTACAGGTTCCAGAATGTTAAACTAAGTGCTGCCATTTGAGTAAATCAGGCAAAATCAAGGCAGATTTGCACGCCTTAGTTTACCTACGTTTATTCCGCTCCTGTTTGGCTTGGAGAGAGGAAAAAGCTCGATGTAAAACTTAAGCCCTGCCCCCCCCCACAGTTACGAGACACCCTCATGATCCCCCCCTCCCAACTCACATGCTTTGAAGCCTATCTGCATAGCCAAGAGAACTAGAAACTCGCTCCATTTGGTTTTTCTCTCGTGTGCGTCTTACAGGATAACCTCCACTGTTACTGCTAAATCGTGCATTTGCATGGAACCGTGGGACACACAGTTGTGGGGCACAAAACCCCTCTTTCTTGTAGGTTACGGCGACGTGGCTGAAGGTGGGGCATCTCCATCGTACCAGCAGAACCCATACTGACCACCTAGCGTGCTCGTGTCGTAGGCCAAAACTGTGCCACCGTTTGAACGGATAACCATTATGAGCGGGAGTGCAACAAGTTTGTCTTACGGAAACAGAAAGGAGAATCCCTGGATGACCGTCATTCCTGGAATCTGCATGCACTATCCCTGTCCATCCACACATACATACACATCCTGGAGTAATGCAGACAGGTGCCTCGCCACTGTGGGTACAGCTCGGCGTCAGAGATTTATCTGACATTACCCCCTCCCCCCCCAAAAAAAAAGTGGCTTGCGAGGTTGCACAGTGATATTCCTTTCGGCTTGTAAGCGACACCGGGCTCACTCTCCCGTGTGCATTTTCCTGTGTGCGATTAGATATAAACCCCGGGTGAAGCTTTTCCCGCAGTCCAAACACTTGTAGGGCTTCTCTCCTCGGTGGGTCCTTTCGTGGGCAGTGAGATTCGAGCTGCGGCGGAAGGCCTTCCCGCAGTCGGCACAGCTGTACGGTTTCTCCCCGGTGTGGGTCCTTTCGTGGACGATGAAATCCGAGCTCCAGCGGAAGCTCTTCCCGCAGTCTGAGCATTTGTAGGGCTTCTCGCCCGTGTGGGTCCGCATGTGCGTGGTGAGGTTGGAGTTGCGGTTGAAGCTCTTCCCGCAGTCGGTGCACTGGAAGGGCTTCTCCCCCGTATGGATCTTCTTGTGCCGGATGAAGTGGGAGCGGTGGTCGAAGCTCTTCCGGCAGTCCTGGCACTTGTAGAGCCTCTCCTCGGTGTGGATCCGCCGGCGGAGGACAACGCACCTCTTCTGCCGCTGGTTCTCCTGCATCCGCTCTTGGAAGATGATCTTGCTGAGGTCCTCGTAGCCCACCCTGCAGGGAATGGCCTCGGCTGCTCTCTTCCCGGGGTGGATGCCCTGATGCCGCTCTGGTCTCGGCTGGTTCTCGGAAGCTCTCCCTGTGTCATGACAGAGATTCTCACGGGGTTTCTGTAACGACGTCCCGCACAGAGCCTCTCGCTCGGGGTAGTCCAGCGGCCGCACGGTCTGCCTCTCGTGTTCGTTCAACAACCTGCCGCCTGATGGAATAAGAAGGGAAGGGAAACCACCAGCTTTCAAGCTGCTGCATCAATGATCAACTTAACGAATCAGACTTAGAGAAGTTGTGGGTTCCTGACAAAAATATGCAAATCTATCACTAAAATCTGCCTCAACTCCCGAGGACTGGAAGGTAGCCAATGTAACCCGCATCTTTAAAAAAAGGTTCCAGAAGAGATCCGGTAAATTACGGGCTGGTCAGTCTAATGTCGATACTGGGTAAGGGAAGTTCTTGTCTCACTAACCTTTTAGAGTTCTTTGAGGGGGTGAACAAACATGTGGACAGGATGACCCAGTAGATGTTGTTTACCTAGACTTCCAAGAACACTTTTGATAAAGTTCCTCATCAAAGACTCAGCAGTCATGGGATAAGAGGACATCCTCTTGTGGATTAAAAACTGCTTAAGTAACAGGAAACAGAGAGTGAGTATAAATGGGCAGTTTTCACAGTGGAACGTGATAAAGCAGTGGGGCACTGCAGGGCTCCATACCAGGTCCAGTGCTTTTTAACTGGTTCATTAATGATTTGGAGTTTGGGAATAAGCAGTGAAATGACTAAGTTTGCAGATGACGCTAAGTTGTTCGGGGCAGTGAAAACCAGGGAGGTCTGTGAGGAGCTACAGAGGGATCTGTCGAGGCTGGACAAGTGGGCTTCAACGTGGCAAATGAGATTCAACACGGGCAAGTGCGAAAGGAATGCACATTGGGAGCCAAAAATCCCAGCTATAAATACAGGGTGATGGGGTCCAAACTGGAGGTAACTGACCAGGAGAAAGATCTTGGGAGTCATGGTACATATCTCACTGAAAATGTCCACCCAGTGTGTGACTGCAATAAAAAAGGCCAACGCTATGCTGGGCATTGTTAGGAAGGGAACTGAAAACAAATCAGCCAGTATCGTAATGCCCCTGTATTAACTGATGGTGCCGCTTCATTTGGAATACTGTGTACAACTCTTGTCACCGCACCTAAACAATGATATTATAGCATTGGAAAAGGTACAGAAAAGGGCAACAAAATGATGAAGGGGATGAAACACCTTCCCTAAGAAGAAGATTAAAAAGGTTAGGGCTCTTTAGTTTGGAGAAACAATGATGGAAGAAGAAGATATTGGATTTATACCCCGCCCTTCACTACCCAAAGGTGTCTCACAGTGGCTTACAAACTCCTTTCCCCTCCCCTCCCCACAACAGATACCCTGTGAGGTAGGTGGGGCTGAGAGAGCTCTGACAGAAACTGCTCTTTTTCAAGGACAGCTCTTATCAGAACTATGGCTTGCCCAAGGTCATCCAGCCAGGTGCAAGTGGAAGAGTGGGGAATCAAACCCAGTTCTCCCAGATTAGAGTCCGCGCACTTAACCACTACACCAAACTGGAGGGATGATATGATAGAGTTTTACCGAAGTATGCATGGGATAGAGAAGGTAGAGGGAGAAGTCCTTTTCTCCCTTTCTCACAATACAAGAACCCGTGGGCACTCAATGAAATTAATGAGCAGTAGGTGCAGAACAGGTAAAAGGAAGTATTTCTACACCCAAAGAGTAATTAGCATGTAAAATTCACTGCTGCAGGAAGTGGTGGTGCTAGAAGCATAAACTGCTTCAAGAGGGGATTGGATAAACATCTGGAGCAGAGGTCCGTCAGTGGCTATTAGCCACAAGATGTAGATGGAAAGTTATGTCTGGGGCAGAGATGCTGTCTTACTGGTGC